CCCCAAAACCCCAAAACCCCAAAACCCCAAATATGCTATTATGTTTTAGATATAGTTTATTAAAATTTTGGGAAATATAATTATGCTATGGCGTTGATTCAAAAATAAGAAAATACCATACTAGTCTCTTTGTTATAAAGGAGTGAAATACTTCAAATTATTAATGCTTACTCAAATTATCACTTTTTTTATTTTTGCCTTTTCTGCAATCTCTTAATCTAATCATTTAGATGAATTTGCTTTGGAATAGATGACTGCTATTTTTATTGCTAAGAATCAAAGGATTGCTCAGAGTTATCAACACTATTTTCAAAAGATGTATCTAACTTTGATGAAATTGTTTCCAGTTAGAAATCCTAACTCATGCTATCATCTGAATCCTATTCTCCCCTAGACGGAGATAGCTTTGCCATTTATTTCTTGAATGCACTTCCTGAAGTTTTTCCTTTAAAATTACTGCTAGTTTCTACAAACACAGATTAAGATAGATAATTCTAGGCAAGATTTATTCTACTACTAGGAAGAGGATTAGTTTAGATGATTGGCTATTTAGGACTATCTATAGCAGAGCCTGTCATATTTAATTTCTTCAAAATATCAGGCTAATGAGTCGTATAAAAAGATGGAGATCTTGTACCAAAACTGGCTTTAGAAGTATCTGTTATGAGGATTTTTCCTAGCTGCTCAGCATTCAATAAAAAACTATTATCATGATTAAGGTTTAGACTACAAGTTGTGCTGCATTTATCTTGATTCATTAGTTTAACATGAGAGGTCTCATCGTATTAATAATAAAAATTAGCCATACTCATATAGCCTCCTTTGACTTTAACTAATAAAACTCTATTGTTAACCTAAATATATCATTATGAAAGCAAATTACAACTTTAGTGGAGACTTTTCTTGAACCAAATTAGTAGACATTAGTTTAGATCTTTGTTATTGGCATAGCTACATTATTAGATTAAATGAATTCATTAATTAGCAGGTCTGTCTTATCAGTATACAAATAAGAGTCTTTTATTAGAGATTAATTAATAGGGCTATTCATTCTAGATACATTTTTAGATTATACTTAAGGCTTTATATTCGACATTGAATTGAAGCTTTCATTTGGGACGAATAACTCTTTTTCAGGAGTAATACATCCGCTGCTGTCTCTTTCTATATCTGATGATGTTTCATTGAAAGTTACAATTCTTTCTTCATAAAGTTACTTGATTTTCAATAGTTTTAGAGATTTAAGCATTCCTACATATTCATCCAAGATTTCTCTTGAAGGCTTTATAGCTTCCCGCATGTCTTTAACAATTTATCTATGCACAATAAAATTCTGATTTTCATCATCACTTTTAAATGGAGTACATAAATACGTTTTGTTTATTTCCTCATATTTGAAGTCGATTTATTTTTATCTGAATTTTTATGCTCGAAGTTAAGCTTATTCTTATGGACCTAAGAAATCTTCTTAAGAACTGAATTGCATCAACATCATTTCGATTTTATCTTGTTTACGCATAATTTTATCCTATATTAACTGGAGTTGGAACTGTGATATCTCTCCTTCAATTTTAAGTAGTCTGATGGAGTTTTCTTTTTGCTTTTTGACAAATTTTGCTAAAATTTTCATACTACTATCTTTAAATGATTGCATTTCTGATATTTCTTTGCTAAAGGTCTCATTATCTTCTTTAAGTAATTATAAATCAATCTTGAAGTTTTCAAATTATTAATATATATATTATCGCAAAATTGTCCTACTTTAATCAGATTTTTGCTGTGCTAATAATTCTTAACAAGTCTTTTCTTTGTCTAAAGTTTACTTATTATCAAATCTAACTAATTAATTAGCTAGATCAATAATTTTCTTCTTACTAATATCTTTAATTCATGTTATATTCCTTTGCAGAAAATTTCTATCAATGTCTTATTAAATTAAATTCTGCTCATAATAATTTTCAGATTCTCTTGCTTTTTATTCTAGTAATTCTGCTGAAATTGATGGATTATAAGAGCTCAATTCAACAATCATGTTATTGACTTCAAATTTTAATTTCAAAATTTTTTCATTAAATGTTATTTGAAGAGTATCAATAGACATATCTCCCAGCTCTCCTTTTAAATCAGAAAGAATTCTCTTCAACATAATAAATTTTTCCTTGCATTAGTTTGTTTTAACTACTAATTCAATTACTTTATCATACTACTCATTCAAATAATATTCATCTTGATTGCTCATGATGATTTATTCCTTAGATTGATTAATTATATCATAAGCTTAATATATTTCATTGGTTTCTCTGTCTAATTTATTGTATTTTTTATAGCATTTTTTAATGATCTCAATCAATTTAATAGAGAAGCTTTCTTCATAATTGATATTATCTAATATCAATGAATGTATGAAATTATCAAATTTCTTGATGGAATTTTCAAGCTACTTTATAGATTATATAATTTGTGGTAAATCTTTAGTAAGAGAATTTAATGCATTTTAAAAATCAATAAGCGTATCAGATCCATCTTTTAACTAGACGAATACTTCAAATTATTATTTGAAGCTTTCCTCCAATTAAATGAGATCATCCTTAAGTGGGCCTAGCTAGCTTTTAAACTACTCTATAGCCTCTACTTTCTATTAGCAATTATCAAAAGGCTTATTAATTAAATATTTAAATTCTTCAAGTAAGTCATTCTTGTTATTTTTCGATCTCTAAATCTTATCAATCATTCCTTCAAATATTTTTGCAATACCATTCTAAAATTTTGTTATTAACTTAATTGGAAAATCGTAGGCTGAATCCTTACTAAATATGCTAATTTTTCATTTCTTGACACTGAACCAGATGGAAACTTTGATTTTGTGCTATCAATTGCTGGATTTAATGAAATGTTTATGAATTCATCGATTTTGTCTTACATAGTATTGATTTTATTGTCAAGAATTACAAAAATATTTTCCATTTTATGTACATACAGATCTATATAAGTCTTAAATCATCGATAATAATGGTACCAGATAGTTTAAATTTTAATCTTCTCTATGAAATATTAAGCGTTTTTGAATTTGTAAATAATATTGGATCATCTTCCAACTATTTTGAACACAATGCTCCCATTTAATAAAGAATTTAATATTTTATTTTTATAAATAAACTTGAATATTATAATTAATTTATGTTTCCAGTAAATTACAAAAAAATTTCTATACTTGGGGTTTTGGGGTTTTGGGG